GGGCGGGGCTGCAGCAGAAGATTGGGGCGGGCACACCCAGGAGCACTGACTGGTTAGAGAGCCATGCAGCCCTGGTCTCATGAGGTAGGGGTGGAACACCAAGTAGCCATCATTCTCCAGGTCTGAGCCTCAGTGAGAGTCCAACAGGCTTCTACTCCTCATGCAGGAGAAGGATTTCCTTTAGGCACTTCTCAAACCTCTGATTTTGCGCGGGTCATGGAGCAAGTCCTATAAAACCTTTAAGTCCTGTTCACCTGCCCTTTGAAAGAGGAATTACCTGTACCCTACACCCCTAGGGTTCTCTGGGCACAAGCCTTATTCCTTTCTGAAGACAGACACTCTGTGGGTTCCGGTTTCTGGTGCAGATCCCCAGAGAGCCTCTTGTGGGGCACAAACACCTAAGAACTCAAAGATGGGCTTCACATGTGTGATATCCTTCCAGCGCAGACACCACTCCTGTTTCCACATCTATCTGCCTGCCTGCTGTGCAGCCCTGGTCACTGCTTAGGTAGTGGTGGGTCAGACTCCATGTGTGAGGACTCGAGCTCCTCTGCACTTTCCTCTTCTGTATCCTATGGCAGCAGGTACTTTGACCTTAGCTCCTTGTAGCCCCACCATAAAAATAAATTCTGCAGCTCCGAGGCAGAATGCATGCTGTGCTCCTCCCTCCTCTCCAGGCTCCTGGTGGGTCTCAGGATTGGTTGGCTCATGGATGAGATGCAAAATTTTTGGAGACTCATACCCTAAGTTTGGGTCATGCTGGAGTCATAAACCAGGAATAGATATTAAATGATAGCTACCCTGAAACAATGTCTATCCCTGATCCTGCAGCCAGGGGCTAACTGCATGTGGCCTCTGGGCTGTTTTCAGTATCTGGACCACCACCTGGAATACACGTCTGTTCTCCTTCAGCCTCATTCCTCATCAGGTTCCCTTCATGTATGATGACCATGGCACTAGTAGTCAGTGTTTGTGGGTCTAAATTCCTCTCCATACAGCCTTTATAAATTTCCCTTCAGAGAACAGAGCAAAGGGAACATTTACTAACTTATTCTGCAGATCTTTCTTTACCATCAAACTTTGGCAACCATCAAGACTAAGATCTTTTCTTTCATTTTTGCTTCATAGTCCCATTTACTTGACGTTCCCAAGGGAGCTCCCGATCCCAGACTGTAGCCACAGGGCCATACCGAGTCCAGGTGGGAGAATGAGCATCACTGTGTTACCATTCCGTGATACCCACTGGTAACTTAAGAAGCATTCAAACCCCTCCCCCCTCCCTACTCCCTCCTCCCCCCTCCCTCAGGGCCCTCCCTTCCAAAACAAACAAACAAAAAGAAACATTTAAACTTGTCAGGAAGTTCTGTGTGTTTATTTAAGCCCAGCTGTCCACATTGGCTGGAAGCAGATTCTCAATGGATTGACATAATGCTCCAGAGAATGGCAGTTTTGCACCCTGTATTATACATTAGAATCAAAAGAGAAGATGTAAGTGTGTTACATGAAATCCATTGGTGATAGATTGGGGAGGCTGAGGCAGAAGAAAGCAAAGAGGGGAGGGTATGGAACCTCTGGGATTGGATAGAAAGTAAAATGATAGACACATTCTTCTTTTACTTAGGTGGGTGTAGGATAGTTAACAGTCAACAATTAGCTCAACAACAATGAGGGTATTTATGGTCTCTGTAGAGTGGTGCCTTGTGGGGTCCAGACAAAAGGAAAATTACCTTGACATTTCAGCTATATGTTATTGTAGATGCAAAAGGACACTAGACAGGCTCAGTTAAAGTAAAGATTGACTTTGTCAGGCAAAAAGGCCAGCCTAGGATATGACTAACCAACAAAACTGCTCTTTCAGTTTAAAAACTTTTAATTTCAGACCACCCTCTGTGGTTAATTTAGGTCTCTGAATTTGTAAGGCTACCACACAGGCCTTTCCTGAGTTAGTCAGGTTAGCATGTGGTCCTTTTTGTCGACGCCTCTTTGAAATGACCACCAGCATCATCTCCAATTTGGATGGTCATTACCATCTTGTGACCTGTGAGATATAAGCTGTCAGGGTCACTTAGCTGAGCTGAGGATACAGGACAGGAGGCAGGGCATGCTGACATTGGCTGCCTTAGCAGCTATTAGTGGTGTTCTTCACAGTGCTATGGAAGGTACTTTATTTCTGTTATCTCAGCCTTTTAAGAAGCCAGACTTAGTAGATGTGTGTGAGACCACTAAAGTTTATGTAAGCCTAGAGCTACAGAGTGCAAATTACCTTGTGAAAGCCCATAGGCATTGCATCCCTGGGCCATAAGGATACATGGTGGTTATAAAAGTCACAATCCCCTTATGAAAAATGAAATTTAAGCATATTAACTGGCATTTGAGGTCTATATGAAATCCTCCTAAATCCAAATGCACTTTCTACATCAAGCTGATTTTGCTATCAACAATCTGGCCTTGTAAGGAAGCTGATCTTCCACTTTGTTATGGCCTTATGATGTTTCCAGACAAGAAAAACAAAAGAAAAATTCATTAGAAAACTTATCCAATATTACTTTTCTAGGAAGAAAGAACCCAGGCCTGATGTTTACCTTTTGTTCTCCATAATCTAATCTAACTTTCAATCCTTTCTTCTTACCACAGCCTATGTCTCACTCATCACTTGCTCTCCATGTCCTTCATCTTCTTGTCCTGAAAGCTATCATCATCTCTCCCCTGGGCAACTGTATGTGCATCCTACTCATCTTCCCAGTTCCCCACTGGATCCACCGATTACTACACAGCCCAACACTGGTGATTACTTTTGCTCTTGGCAAAGTGTTCCTAAATGTTACCTAATTCACTAAGTGCCATAGGTCACTGCAGGCTCATGTGATGCCAAAGGCCTAGCAGTTTTCTCACACGAGCCACACTGACATTTTCCATCTCAGACAATGTGGTGCATCTTCAGTGAATGGGTCATTTTCTTCACCTAATATATTCTTTTGCTCTCCCATATGCCTTATTTCCTTCATCTTCCTCAGGTTTTAGTTCCACCCTTAGGTATTTAAGTCTGAATTGCTGGAAAACCCTTTATATATCCCAATAATTTGATTTCCCAACAACATGCACATCTCTCTAGTAGTGTTTTTCACATCAGCTTGTATATATATATGACTTAATTTACTGTTACTTTCCAGGTGGATGTCAGGGTCCCAGTGGTTTAAACTCTCTGTTTAGATTCATTTCTGTGTTTGTGGGTATTAGTTTAGTTGTTAGCATGTAGTTCATAGTGATGAAAAATTAGTTGAATGATCTTGCCTAATATTTTGAGATTTCTTTTGCAAGACTGATATTTACTTTATCTGTGTTTCTATTTTTTCAGATATGTGACTTGTGTGATCCTATGAACATCTTTATGCTATCTCCCTCCCCATCATCAATTAAACATACACACCATTAGGCTCCTGTCAATATCCTTGGCATACTTCCAGGCAAACATGAAATTGTACTATTTATCCAACAAGACTCCCTAGAACCTCATAAGTTACCTACATTGTCTTTAATTAACCCTGTAAGGTAGGAAGGGGGACCCTGAATACATTAGAATCATTGCAACTCTGTGTATTGAAAATAAATGGTCTCTGTAAGTCACTCACTAACTTTATGTACACATCTGATAAAGGGTTTGCTCATGCCATTACACAAATACATTGTCACATATTATCTATACTAATAAAAGGTAATATGCTAATTAGAACGGATAGACCGAACATCTTCTGGACATCCTTCCAGACATCCTTCCAAACAAAGCCACGGTGGTGGAGGCCAAGGCAGAGGTGGTGAGGGGTGATCAGGCTACCAGGGGAGAGCTGTTGGGGGCGATCAGGCCGGCAGGGGAGAGCATTTAATGGCGATCAGGCCAGCAGGGGAGGGCACTTAGGGTTTATCAGAACAGCAGGGGAGAGCACTTAGGGGCAATCAGGCAGGCAGTGGAGCAGTTATGGGCATCAGACAGGCAGGCAGAGTGCTTAGGGGTTTTCAGGCAGGTGGCAAAGTGGTAAGGGGCAATCAGGCAGGCAGGCAAAGTGGTTAGGGGCAATCAGACAGCCAGGCAGAGGGTTTAGGGGCAATCAGTTAGGCAGGTAGAGTGGTTAGGGGCAATCAGGCAGGAGGGCAGATGAGTGGATAGGAGCCAGTGGTCCTGGATTGCAAGAGGGATGTCTGACTGCTGGTTTAGGCCCGATACCCAGAGCAGGTCTTTCTGATAAAGGAACACGGAAGGAGATTGTTAACTGAAGGATGAAATTGAGTCCTACTGACACCAGGGTATCAATGCCTGATGAAAGAACAGGTATAAAAGCCCAGACCCAAAAGTGGTTTGGAGATGTGTTTGGTATAGGAAAGATTAAGTTGGAGAGATGCTGGGTCACACAAACATCTTTTCTTTGTAAAAAAGGCCTCAGGTCATCCTTTGGTTTAGTAACAGTAAATGACAATAACAACCATTGCACAAATGAAAACGTTAAATAAAGCTATTTAAAGTTCTTATGTGCCTGGCAGGAATTTCTCAGTGGTTAGAGTGTTGGCTTGTGCATGGAAGGGTCATGGATACTTACCAGGGTTGCAAGTTTGATCACCACCCAGATTTGTGTATCTGTTGCAGACAACCAATTTATCTGTCTCTCTCACATTCATGTCTCTCTCTCTCTCTCTCTCTCTCTCTCTTCCTCTCTCTCTCTCTCTCTTTGTGTGTGTGTTTCTTTCTCTTCCCCTCTCTCCCTTCCACTCTGTCTAAAAATCAATGACAAAAAAATCCTCAAGTGAGGATTAACAAAAAAATAAACATAAATAATATTATTACAAATAGTATTTTTTTCTAGATCACCATGCTCCTTGCCTTGTCTCTCTACCTTTTATTTTTTGTCCTTTTACATCTATTCTTGCTTCATCCTTAATTTTTATATAATTAGCAACATTTATTCCTACCATTCTTACTCTGCCCCCCATTAATGTTTCCAATCAGGCAGAGATCAGTGAGCAGCAGAAGGCTCAGATCAGGACAGATAGGAGCAGGGGAGCAGCTGCGATGGCTTCAGGAATCCTGGTGAACATAAAGGAGGAGGTAACATGCCCCATCTGCCTGGAGCTCCTCACAGAACCCATGAGCCTGGACTGTGGGCACACATTTTGCCAAGCCTGCATCACTGCAAACAACAGGGGGTCCATGATCGGCCAAGGAGAGAGCAGCTGCCCAGTGTGCAGGAGCACTTATCAGCCTGAGAACCTGCGTCCCAATTGACATGTGGCCAACATTGTGGAGGCGCTTAGGGAGGTCAAGTTGAGCCCACAGGAGGAGCAAAGGACAGATCTCTGTGTGCGCCATGGAGAGAAACTCCTGCTCTTCTGCCAGGAGGATGAGAAGATCATTTGCTGGCTTTGTGAGCGGTCTCAAGAGCACCAGGGTCACCACACCTTCCTCATGGAGGAGATTGCCCAGGAGTACAAGGTAACAGACCAGGGTGGAAGAAAGACAGGACAGAAAATAGCACTTGATGAGAAATCTCAACTTTTGTATTTGACTGTAATTATCTTGCCACCACAGTCCTGAGGCCTGTAATCACTTTTCTTCCTATGTTCGCCTTCCAAGGCCTGAAGGACATTTCTATACATTCCACACAATTACAAATGATGAGCAGACTGTAAAGGAGAGTAGGTGTTTTCAGACTTTGTGCTAATAGGTAGAGGTTTGGTGCACAAGCAAAGTTGTCATCATCTCTTTAGACATGAGGGGTAACTGGGCAGCTGGGTGGATGGAGACCTAAGTTCTTTCCTTAATAACGGATCAAGTATTTTCTTCTAGGGCGTTGGTTCTCAACCTTCCTAATGCCACGACCCTTTAATACAGTTCTTCATGTTGTGGTGACCCCTAATCATAGAAGTATTTTGTTGCAACTTCATAACTGTAATTTTGCTACTGTTATGAATCATAATGTAAATATCTGATATGCAGGATGTAGTTTCATTGATATAAATTGAACATAATTAAAGCATAGTTATTAATCACAAAAACCATATGTAATTATATATGTGTTTTCCGATGGTCTTAGGTTATCCCTGTGAAAGGGTCGTACGACCCCCAAAGGGATCTTGACCCACAGGTTGAGAACCGCTGTTCTAGGGCAAAGAGAACCAGTCTTCTCTTGACATAGTAATGGTGATTTCTATCATCTGAGTCTTAAAGAACACATAACCACTTCAGGTTTCCTTCAAATCACAGATTCTAATGGTCATTTTACAGTTTCTTTAGAGATGAACCTGATTTCTTCCCATTAATCCTCTCTTCTGATGAGGAGAGAGCCCATAGCTTAACCCTGAAGTGAATCCTCTCCCATAGGAAAAGCTCCAGGCAGCTCTGGACAGGCTGAGGGCAGAGCATCAGGAAGGTGAAAAATTGGATGATGACCTTGAAGAAGAGAGAACTTCCAAGAAGGTAGGAGGAGACTTTTTCTGGTAATTATCCAAGAATCTGGGCATGACTTTGTGTTTTAATTACAAGGAGTTCCCTTCCTTCTTGTTTTCTGACAGTTGATATGTCCAGAGTCATTGATTAGCCATTGTATATTCTTTCCCTGGTAGAAATAGGGCTGGAAATAAGCATGTCACAAAAATAATGCTGATATTTGGAGGTTAGCTATTCCCATAGATAGACTCTAGGGTGAGGATGGTAGTGAATTTTACATTCATTTATCTTTTCTTTTTTCTTTTTTTTTTTTTTTTTGAGCCTTAAACTCTTCCAGGGAAGACAGTTACTAATGGTTCATGGCTCTGTTCCAGGAGCTCAACTTAGGCTGCGGTGGGGTGGGGTGAGGAGTAATGCATGGAGGCATCACTGTCCTGGGCAGCTCTGAGAGCTGAGCCACACCCAGGTGTCCCATTTTGTTTCAGGTTTGGCTTCAAGAATGTAGACATGAGAGCATTATTTTGGGATATAATGAAGATGAAATAATGGGGAAAATCAGCCTCCCCAAGAATTGCTCCTCTGCTTCCATCTCTCTTCCCTCTGAGAACATCCAAATCAAATACTTACTTTTCTGGCTCCCAGTATGCCTGATAACCTGAGTCCCTGTCTTTCTTTCTCATTCCTGAAGGATCAAATAGAAAATGACTTGAAAAATGTTCAGAATTGTTTTAAACAACTGAGAGGTATCCTGGCCAGTGAGGAGCAGAAGGAGCTGCAAAGGCTGGAGAAGGAGGCGGCAGAGAATCTCGATGACCTGTCTCAGGCTGAGAGTGAGCTGGCCCAGCAGAGGAAGTTGTTGAGAGATCTCATCTCAGATCTGGAGCATCGGTTGCAGGGGTCAACAGTAGAGATGCTGCAGGTAAGACTTAGAAATAAACCCCAGCATCTGAACTTAAGGAAAATTAAGACTAAGTTCCCTTCTCTGCTGTGTGGCTGTGCTGTTTGTGGTGTTGACACTGGGGTTGCATTGGTCTTGCAGTGACCCTTCCCTGCATCTGTTTCAGAGGTTATTGGAATTGTTGAATGCATGAACAACAAGGAAACATCTGGTTCTTATTAATGTATCAATTTAAGTATAAAATTGACTGTGAAGAGAAGATTCCTTGTATTCTGTAGGCCCCTGTGTCTGTGATCTAGCCTAGAACTTTATTCAGGTATCTCTTCATGATACAAGAGTTGTTCTTTTTCTTTTTAGAATAAGTTGAAATTCTTCTGTTCTTTCTGAATTTTCTGAATAAACAGTTGTGAAGGATTGGCATTATTTATTTTTTATTTCCGTAGATTTACCAGTGAAATCATTTCACTCTGGGCCTTTATGTTAATGGAAAAGTTTAAAATATTTTTTTTTACTTGTATTAGGTTTTCTCAGTTTTTTTTATGTTTTTTGAGTCAGTTCTTGGTAATGTACATCATTGTAGAAATTTGTCCATTTTAAGTTGTCAGATTCATAAGCATGAAATTAGTCATTATTTCTTAGAATATTTTTCATTTCTACAATACTAACAGTAACGGCTCCTTTTGTTCCTGATTTTGTGATTATTTTTGGTCCAGTAAGTTATAATTTGTCAAGGTCACTGACATTTTTTGGTTTGTTTGCTTTTTAATATATATTTATTGATTTTAGAGAGAAAGGCAGAAGGTGAGAGAGATAGAAACATCCATGATAAGAGAGAATTATTGATCAGCTGCCTCCTGCATGCCCCCTACTGGAGATCGAGCCTGCAACTGGGGCATGTACCCTTGACTGGAATTGACCCAGGACCCTTCAGTCTGCGGGGCAACGCTCTATCTATTGAGCCAAACTAGCCAAGGCTCATTGGTATTTTTTAGAATAAATTTTACTGTGTTATTATTTATTTATTTATTTATGATTTATATTTAACCTTTCTATATCACAGGTTTCTACTCTCACTTATATAGTTTCCTTTGTGTGTGTATGTAAATGCACATTGATATATGAGAGTGTGCATGTGTTTCTGTGTGTGTGCATTGAATTTAATTTTTTGTTATTTTTCTAGTTTATTAGAGTGAGAATATTTTTGTTTATTTTATTTTGTTAATCCTCACCCTAGGATATTTTTTCCATTGATTTTTAGAGTTTAGAGAGAATGAAAGGGAGGGAGGGAAGCAGATAAGGAGGAAGGGAGAGAGAGAGAGAGAGAGAGAGAGAGAGAGAGAGAGAGAGAGAGAGAGAGAAACATCCAGTGAGGGAGGGGCACATTCATTGGTTGCCTATGGCACACACACCAAAGGAGGCCAGGGATCAAACCTGCAACACAGGTACATGCTCTTCACCAGAAATTGAATGTGGGAGTCTTTGGTTCTGGGACGACACTCTCACCACTGAACAATACCACCCAAGGCTTAAAGTAGGAATTTTGACCCCTGACTTCACCGTCTTTTCTCTTACAGTTTTTACTGTTATAAATGCATTGTTTTAGCTATATTCCAGACATTTGGATTATTTACTTATCTGTTTGTTTTTTATTGATTTCAGAGAGTAAGTGAGAGGGAGAGAGAGATAGAAACATCAATGATGAGAGACAATCATTGATCAGCTATCACTTGCATGCCCCCTACTGGAGATGGAGCCTGCAACCCTAGTGTGTGCTCTGACTGGGAATTGAATCTTGACCTCCTGGTTCATAAGTCAGCCCTTAAGCACTGAGCTCCACCTGCTAGGCCTTGTTATTTTGAATCAATTTAACTTTTTTCAAATTTGCTTTGTTATTTTTGTCTTAACCCTAAAAATATTTGAAATGGTGTTGTTTAATGTACAAACACCTGGTGATTTTTTACTTTTTTTTCTGCTGTGTGTTTTAAATTTAATTCCTTTCTAATCAGAAAGCATATGTTTTATTATTTCAACATTATAGCTGTGTTGACTTGCTTTTTCTACTAAAATATTGTATGTCCATATTGTTTATGTGAATTTGAAAATAATTTGAAGTGTGTATTGATTGGGTGAAAGGGTCTTTAGTTGTCAGGTGGAGCTGGTTGACAATGTTGGTCATGGCTTCTACATCATGATGATTTTCTTATTTACATTTTTGCTTTTTATTTTCTCCTTTTCATAAGTCTCTTTAACCTTTCTTATTATACTGATTTGGTGGTGATTATCTCCTTGAGCTTTTTCTTATCTAGGAAGCTCTTTATGTCTCCTTCAATTTTAAATAATAGCCTTGCTGGGTAGAATAATCTAGGTTGTAGGTCTTTGCTTTCCATCACTTTGAATATATCATGCCACTCCCTTCTGGCCAGCAAAGTTTGAGTTGAGGAATTAGTTGGGATACTTACGGAGCCCCCTTATAAGTAACTAACTGCTTTTCTCCTGCCATGTTTAAGACTTTTTTTCTTTGTATTTTTCATTTCTCACTGGGTGTTTTTTATGCTTTCTATCTCCTTTCTATGTTTCTTCTCTCTTTGTTGAAGTTCTCAGTCAGATAATCTATTCTTCGCTAAGTTCACTGAGCATCCTTATAACCAGTGTTTAGAATTCTGCATTTGGTAGATTGCTTGCCTCCATTTTGTTTAGTTGTTTTTCTGAAATTTTGTCCTGATCTTTCATCTGGGACATGTTTCTTTGTCTCCTCATTCGGCTGCCTTCCTATGTTTATTTCTATGTGTTTGGTATATCTGCCACATCTCCCAGCCTTGGCAGAGTGGCCTTATGTAGCAGGCTTCCCTTGGGGCCCAGTGGTGCAGTTTCTGTGTTCATCTGAACCAGGTTCTCTAGGGGTGTCTAATGTTTGAGGTGTGCATGCTTTCTTGTTGTAGTTGAGCCTTGATTGTCATTGGCACATCAGTGTGTGGGATTGCCTCTCAGGCTGAGTTGGGGTCTAATTTCATAATGTACACCTGTGGGTGTGGTACCAGCCAGTTTCATTTTTCCCTCCTACCAGCCTTGTGGTGACTTTTAAAAAAATATGTGTTTATTGATTTTAGAAAGAGGATGTAACAAGAGGAGGATGTGATGAGAAACAAGGTCAGAAGACTGAAAATAGTTAACAATATGGAATAAACTTTTAGACCCTGAAACACAGTAAATACTGTAGTGTTTAGAATAGTGACCAAGTGGATATTGGTAACATGGACGAAGGTGTATAAAAGAGGAGGTAATTTGTTTGTTGAAAAATAATTTACATAGTAAATATCTTAAGTTACTGGTTCCCGTGGCTTCTTTACTAGGCATTATATTAACCTGCTCTCACATTAGGACCATCTCTATTTTCACCAGATCAGGGGGGTGGAGAGGGGAGATGTGTTGAAGTTTTGTTAGTGAAAGAGCTTATTACTTCATGACTTATAGTGTCTCTTTCCTCCTTAGGATGTGAAAGGCATTATGGAAAGGTATGTATGGGAGACCAGCGATGGTCTTTTTGTGCTGTAAAAAGTGTTTAAAGACATTAATGATACCTGGTGATTAATAAGAATAAACTATTGCTCAGGGCAGAAACATTTAGATGTAGTTTTATCTTAAATTTCTGTTCACATATGGCTTGTTTATTGTATACCTATTGACAATAACCCAGATTTTATGTAGTCAATTTACTCGAGGGAGTTGCAAAGTTTGGGTTTGTATAAGATGTTGCAGTATCAGACCCATCTGACTTCATAAATTCTATGCATGCCTTTGTCTAACTCAGATTTTCACATGTAACAGGTGATGTATTGACCATGGGAATGTCATGTCTTCTTTACCTCCTAAGCACTCAGAATTTGAGACAACTCCTTTATATTTAAATTTCTGCTCTCTGAATAGAAGATATAGTTCTCTTTATTTTCCAAAGGCTGACTTGAATATCAAGGATTACTTTGACCCTTTGAAAAACAGTTGATCCATCTTGGTCATGCACTTTTGAAATCCGAAAGGAAGGGCAGCATCTTTGTGTCTAAATTTGAACACCTACTTGACTGCACTAATCTATTCCAAACACATGAAATTCAGACCACTAGTAGTATAGCATTCATAGTATCTTATTTTCCAAGTGTTATATTTTTTCTCAGAGAACCTGAAACCTCAGATGTAGTTCTGCAGGCCTCCTATTGGGCAGTGGAATTTAAAGGTCTTGGTTCTTCCCAGACAGTATTCCCACACTTGATATATCTCAAACATAAGGATCCATGTTCTGTATCCTCACATTCTTGTCATATTGCTGGGAATTTACATCCATGTCACGACTTTTCATTATACTTATTTATTTCAAGGTACCAAAGTTTGCATTTTAAAGAAATTCACTATGGCACATAATTTCATATGATCTTTGGGAGTTAGAAAGGGAGAGGATAGTTATCACTGTGAAAGGAATAAACTACTTCTGAGAGGTCAATGCATTTCCAAGGGCAGACAGCAGTCAACTGAGAAAGTGGATTGAGCACATTTCTTCTGGTGCCAAGGTCAGAAGTCTACTCTCTCCTTTCTCAGGAGTCCATGAATGGGGGCTCAAGTACTCCTTGGGGTGAGTAGATAAAATCAGTGGTTTTGGAGAGACAAAAATTCAGAGCTGTGTTGATCTATCTTGTTGTCTCTAGGAGTAAGACCTTCACTCTGAAGAAGCCAAAAACTCTCCCCATGAAGCAAAGGAGAGTGCTCCAAGCTCCTGATCTGGGAGGGATGCTACAAGTGTTTAATGGTGAGGAATGCTAGAGCAATGGGTGGCTGTGAGATTGTTGTTATGGTTGGGGTTAAAGTTCAGGTTTAAGGTGTAGCTGGAGGAGAAATAAAAAGACAAATATTATATTCTGGTTATAAGAGCATATTCAATGGGGAGTGGTCAACTGTCGTGTTCACCCCTATTCCATGTACTAACTTACATAAACCCCAATCTTTCCCTGATATGGGGAGAAAATAGATGTTGATGCAGAACATTTTGCCTATATTTGATGTTATGGATTTTTTTCTAATTTCAGAACTCACAGATGTGCGACGCTACTGGGGTAAGGAGAAATCACAATATCACAAAGTCACCTTGTCCTCATCTTCTTTTAGAATTTTGCATTTTCTGCTAGGTCTCTCGTATAACGACCCAGGTTTTCCCTCCCAACACCCACATATATGTTATATTTCTTCAGTGAGTAATGCTCCTCAAGAACCAAATCAAATCCTTCCCATTTTCCACTCATTTTATTCTCAAAACTCTCTTACAATGTCACAAATAAAGTATGTCAGATTCCTCACCCAACCCTGTAATTTTTCTACAGTACACATGACCCTGGATCCTCCCATGGATAAATCAAATATTGCCATTTCTGAGGATCGGAGACAAGTGAGACCTGTCTATTTGTTGCATTTGTTAGCTGATAAGATGGATTTTGGTGTCCTGGGATCCTGTTCTATCACATCAGGGAAGCATTACTGGGAGGTGGATGTGTCACAGAAACGTGCCTGGATTATGGGGGTATGTGGAAAATCATTCCCTGGCTTCTTTCTCAGGGAAGTTCGAAGAGAATCTTTAAATAGAAAGCCTTTTTGCACTAGATTTCAGCCTAAATATGGTTACTGGGTTATAGGGCTACAGAACGATTCTGAATATAAGGTTTTTGTGGATTCTGCCTCCTCTGACTCCACGACATTAACCCTGTACCTGAGTGTTCCTCCCCGTCGTGTTGGAGTTTTCCTAGACTATGAAGCTGGCACTGTCTCCTTTTTTAATGTCACTAACCATGGGTTTCTCATCTATAAATTTTCTTCATGTTCCTTTTATCAGAAAGTGTTTCCGTATTTCAATCCTATGAAATGCACTGCCCCCATGACACTGTGTTCTCCAGGCTCTTAAACCTCTTACACCTTCACCCACTTCTCTGGAATGCCTCTTGCCATGGGTGCATCTAATGAGCCGAGCTCACCTGCACTGTTCTTACTATCTTTTCCGGGCTTGTATTTTTTTTTTTTTTCCCATTTGAACACCCTTCATTAATCAATAAGGTGTAAAATTTGCCCCGTGCCATATTTTCCCAAAATCTTATTTGCATTCATAGAGAATCCTAATTCATCACTTTTATCATCTCAAGGAAAATGACTAATGCCTCATAACAAAAAGGCATGTATGGAGGTAACATCTCTACCAAGTTCTACAATCTCATGTCCTCTGCCCCTGCCTGAGAAGATGAAGCAAAGCTTTTCAACAACTTTTATTGAAGACTTGAATAGAAGTCATTCACTACAGAATGAATCCTTAGAGGTCTGTCTGTTTACCCATGATGTTTGTTATTCATCAAGGAGTGAAGAAGAAAATATTAAATATGGGTTTTTAAATTGATTTCTTAGAAAGAGAGGAAGGGAGAGTTAGAGAGAGATAGAAACGTTGATGATAAAAAAATATTAAAGGGCTGTCTCCTGCATGCCACCTACTGAGGGTTGACCTTGTGTCCAGGAAATGTACCATGACTGGGAATTGCACCAGCGACCTGTTGGTGCACAGGTCAATGCTCAACCACTGAGCAACATCAGCCAGGCAACAAGAAAATATCATAAATAATATGTACTAAGAGTTAAGTTCTGTGTCCTCATTTCTGAGTTCACGTCCAATTTCTCCAAATATGCACAGTGAATTTTGAATAAAATACCTGAATGCCGATTTGTTTTCTGTAAATAATCCTGGTAATAAAACCATACCATAGTTAGTATCACTGTGAAAAGAAAAATTTCATTAAGTATATAAAATGTAAGTGTCTCAACTGAATAAATATTTCTCCACTAATTACTGAGAAATCTAAACTGTCAGTGTGTCATAAAACAGGTTTTGCTTTCAAGGGCACATGGGCAGTTTTTACCAAAGTCCATGTTTCAGATCCCAGACATATCTGTGCTGCTGTCTAGAATACTCCAGCTCTGCCAGTGTTAGACATGACTGTGTGTATGAGTGAAAATTTTATTATAAGTCTGGTGTTACTGCACATTAGCCTTGATCAAATAATCTAAATTGTACACGATTCAGTTTCACATTTGTAAAATAATATGAAATTTACCTGATGTATTTTTGTGAAAATTAAACCATAGAATATTTTCAGTAATTTCTTTCATGGCTAGCACGTAATTAGTCATCAAGTATACTGTTGATTCATTTTTGTTTGCCTCTCACTGTGATTGAAATAAATGATTTTAAAAATACATATTAGCTTACTTTCAACTTTACTATTCTTGCTTTGATTTAAGAAATAAAAATAACTTGATGAAAGAATTGTGAAATCTAATGAAAAAGATAATCGATGAACAAAATGGAACCAGAAACAAGGAACAGACTGGGCAGTCTCTGAGGGGAGGTGGGTGAGGGGTGACTGGATAAAGAAGGGAAGGGTGTTAGCTAAAGAACATATATGCATACCCCATGGACATAGAAATAGACTTGTGAAGACCAAGGGAGGGGGGTTTGGGAGAAGGTTAATGTTACAGGGAAACAGGACGTTTCAGGGGGATGTCTATCTGCAACAATGTCAACATTAAAATTTTTAATAAAAAATAGTTATTATTCACAGAAATGATTTAAATACAATTGTGGGATTTCTTAAGAGTGTTTTGTTGCCCAGTTCAGCCTTACTTTTGCAGTGAGGTTCAAATTTTCAGGAACAAGAGAAAAGCCAGTTCTCCAAAGAGATAGCAAGTGCATGATTTCAGCAATGAATATTCACACTATCCCCTTGTCTTTTGGAATTTTTATTCCCAAATCTCAAAGAAGTAAAAGTTAAAATAAATACATTAATGAATTAACTAATCTATTGAAGGTGCTCTCTTGTCAATTATTATCTTCTCTCATCTCTGCATGGCCACAGGAATATCTAAATTCCTCACCCTGGATTATCATTGATGTAACAAGGGATTGCAAGGTGGATATTACAGTGTGTGTGTGTGTGTGTGTGTGTGTGTGTGTGTGTGTGTGGCACGCATGTCTGAAATTGATCTAAATTTTCCCTTTGACCTCTACCTTCCTTACTCTCTGTTGCTGTGATGCCTGGGGCTATGCCTTACTAGCAATACTTCTCAATTATTGACAAATCAACTCCGGGAATTTTCAGTTATTGGAATTCTGGTCCTCCGATTCAGAATGAAGGCCCTAGTTACAAGAAAAAAAAGACCGGATGCTTAGATACCACATTTTTCAGGTCTTTGACACGACTGTCAAGACTGCTTAAGATCTGCCTCTGGTGAACACACACACACACACACACACACACACACAGAGAGAGAGAGAGAGAGAGAGAGAGAGAGAGAGAGAGAGAGGGAGACCAGGCACACTTTTTTTTTTTTTTTATTGTTTTCTCCTTATTGGCCTCACTCTCCAGTGGGCTGACAGACTAGGGCAGTCCCCAGGACTGAAGACAAGCCTGTTCTTCCTCCCCTCCCCGCAGTCAAAGGGCGGGGAGTGGGATCCCAGTCCAGTCTTCTGCAATACAGACAATTTCTTGCTCATGATTAAGTAGTATATGTAGATTTACTGGTTTTTAGGTTCAATGTATCTTATGCCATAACAAACAGCCAGATATTTTTTTTCCAAGTGTTTGTCCCACTTTCCATTCTCACAGTGGATAAAAGAGAACAGGATGATTTGGGGTCTGGTGGTAAATGCAGAGATATACAGTAGAGTAATTTTTGGTGAGGTCTACATTTGACCTACAAAACTTGGTGACAGTTGAAGGGGAGTGGAGGACTCCACACATGGAATGTTTTTATGTGGAGTGCACATGGACAGGGTAAGATGTATGTCTCCCACAATCCCATATTCATCAGATTACTCTTGCCTCCCTTTGAATCTCTGATCTGAGCCCACATCCTAAGCCCCAGAGAACTAATGTGTTCCTTCCAGACCCTGTGTGAGGTGTTTTAGGAGGTGGAGAGCTTGGAATGAGAAGAACAACATCCTTTTGTTAAGAAAGAGTGTTGAAGCTGGCTCTTTATTGGATTTCACCTTTTAGCTCCCAAGAAATCCCTTTCTTCCAAAACTCAAACCACAACATACGGTATACATTTTTTGAATAGGTTGAGGGAGGGCTGCTTAGAGCTGTAAAGCCTGGGACCAATCTACAATTTGAAGATAACAGCTACAAGTGGGGCCTAATGTCTTTGAGCTTGTCTGTGAAAAGATTATAAAAATATTAATCAAGAAAATGTTTGCAGAAGTCAGAAGCCCAAGAGGGGCTGGGAGGGCTGGGGGAGTGGCGCTGGTCTCCTGCGAACTTCCTCTGAGACATTAAATTTAATGTGGAAAGACACCAGTGAGGAAAACAGAACTTGCCAGGCCTATAGGAAACCAGAATGACCCATGCTCCTTCTCCCATCACTTAAACTCCATCTCCAGAGCTAAGCACGTGCGGTGGTCAACATCCCAGAATATTATGTTCTGAGGCCCAGGGAATAATACATTCTCCTCAGGGCTCTGTGTTCCCTTTAGTCCCCACATCTCCTGTTGGAGAAATTCTCTGACTTTGGATCTATGATTTTTAACTGTTTCTGGACTGAAAAATAGCACAGAGCACAGGCAGTAATGTGGTTAGAGTGTGGTGGTGTAGATAAAAAACAGACAGTGAGGTAGGTATCTGAATACATCTTAGGAACAAAACAGAATGTGAGAATTGTTGGTTAAAATTTGTCAGAAGAGTTTACATAAATGCTAACAATATCCTTTTGATTTATTGATTTTTAAATATGTTTTTAATAATTTTTAGAGAAAAAGGAAAGAAGAGGGATAGAGAGATAGAAGCATCAAGGAGAGAGAAACATCAATGATCCACTGCATTCTGCTCACCCCATACTGGGAATTAAGCCCACAACCCAGGCATGGGTCCTTACCTGGAATCAAATTGGTGACCTGGTTCCTGGGTCGATGCTCAACCACTGAGCAACACCAGCTGTGCTTGATTTATGAACACAGCAGTTATGTTGACAGCAACACCAACAATAGAACAGAAACATGATTGTCATCAGCATGTTCAATGTAATTAAAATTATATCCATAGCAATATAAGTGTATGTCTTTCTATTCAAATATCATTCCCTATATACCAATATTTTGTAACAAATCTGACACAATAAGAAATAACATAAAGAAGGTCCCTTCCTGCCTTCATTAATCGAATTGTTTTGGGATGTAAGGCTGGATGAAAGGAATACTCAATTATACTATTACTAGAGGCCCAGTGCACGAAATTCGTGCATGGGTGTGTGTATGTGTGGGGGTGTTTGTGTCTGTGTGTGTGTGTCCCGACCCGCGGGACAACAACGGGGGAACCAAGAGACATCCTAGGAGAATGAAACAAACAAGGGACACGAAAGAATGGAGGAAAGACAGGATTCTGATCAAGCCTCAAATTTTATTCTTACCGCGGCAGGATATATACTGTTTTAGGGACGGGGGTGGGTGGAGAAGCCTATTAGCTTATCAGCAGGGTTGTAGCAGGCTCCGATGTGGCAGTAGTTGCTTCAGGGAATAGGATGGTTATCTTTAGCTGCTGGCCAAATCGCAGGACACACGTAGTTTCTGGTAATTAGGAGTTTCTGGAGGAACCAGAAACTTATAATTTTTAAGATGGCTTTGTCTAAGCCAATATCTCTAATGGCTCCCAACATGTGTGTGTGTGTCCGTCAGCCCAGCCTGCACCCTCTCCAATCTGAGACCTCTTGAGGGATGTCTGACTGCCCTCTCACAATCCAGGACTGCTGGCTCCCAACTGCTTACCTGCCTGCCTGCCTGATTGCCCCTAACTGTTTCTGCCTGCCAGCCTGATCACCCCCTAACCACGCCCTTGGCAGCCTGATTGATGCCTAACTGCTCCCCTGCCAGCCAAATTGCCCCTAATTGCCCTCCCCTGCAGGCCTGGTCACCACTAACTGCCCTCCCCTGCTGGCCTGATTGCCCACAACTGCCCTCCCTTTCCAGCCATCTTGCGGTGGCCATCTTTGACCACATGGGGCCAGCTATCTTGTGTGCTGGAGTGATAGTCAATTTGTATATTACTCTTTTATTAGATAGGATGTGATGATTAAGGGGAAAATAAGACTTTGGTGGGGGGCAGGGCGAGCTACCTAAATCTGTGCCAGTAACCTGCATTCTGATGCACACTCTTGCTTGCTGATAAACC